TTTTAATAGTAAGTTTAAAACGAAACAGATGAATGATTTAGAGTTGTAATCAGCGGCAACCCTGGGTGCAGTTGTAAAATCATTGTAGATCGTAAACTGATAATCACAATAACAGAACTATAATTAGAAAAAGCTAGCGTTTAGTGTTGTTTGGTCTGCGATGGTTGTAATCTAAATTTAGCGAGCGAGACATGTGTTAGATAACTACAGTGAGGTCATGTCAAGGCCCGATACACGACAGATGGGATTTACAACTGTTTATTTTGTTAGAAAAAACATTCAAGTTGCTTTAAAATGTTGTGAATCTAAGTAATGCTTGCTGCTTCAGCCACGTGGAATTTATCAGATTACTATCGTAATCTTGTAATTTGAATTCTGGGGTAAAAAGTAAGCCAATTTTAAATAATGAAATAATTTTCAATTGGCCTTTTTCAGTGTATATAAATGGTAAACATATATACATTTCTATGGCAATGGCAACCTTTTAAAAATTTTACGTAAAAGAAAAGTGAGGTTATGTATCTTTTACACAACCTAAAGGCACGTTGTCTGGCTTTTTATTATTACCGAGGTCTCTAATTACCGTAAATGGGCGCTACAACTAACTCAAAGTGATGTGCCATCCATCATGTTAATTACCTCTTAAATGTAATGTTGTCCATTTAATTCATCGGTATAATATGCAAGGTCATTCTAGAGCTAATATTTGTCGCGACAGTAATGCTTTTATACTATTAATAGTACACTTTAATGCCAGTAATTGTCTCACTAGAGAAGAATTTAAATAACCAATTTTATTTGACAGGCGCAGTTTTAAGGCCGATATTAAATTAAGGTTTTATTTGCATTTGGCAGCTTCGCTTGGTCAAATGATTTAATATATTGCTGTGTTATTGTTTTACAATGGCACTGAATGCACAAACAAAAGTTTTGTTTTGCATAAATGTTGTTTCGCAATATTTCTGTTTCTGGATTCAAATCAAAACATCATTACTTCTTCGTCATATAAGATTATAAGTAGGATGTATTATCCTCAGATGGGATTTAAAATTGGATTCCATAAACAGAAGTTATTAAAACAATAATAAAATCTTAAGAGTAGACAGTAAATTGTATATCATTACATACTTAACTGCTACTTTTATATGATCTTCATATTTATAAAGGTTAAGGGCCTTGGTGACGTCAAGCGTAACCTTTAAATCTCTTACTTATTATACTGCTTCATGCACTTTATTGTGAGAGCATTATCGCGTGACTGGAATGTACTATTTGAATATGTTATTGATTAATGATGGTGTAATTAGTGAGAGTTTAGAGTTATTATATAATGTTTATTAAATACGAGATCGATTCATCATGAGGCTTGTCATGTGTTCGGCACGCGGCGTGGGTGACGAGCGAGGACGTCAACCCGCCGAGCGCCTGATTCGGCGGTCGCGTGCTGCCGGCGGCCGTTGCCGAGCGCTGTCATCACGACGACAGCGCTACGTCACGCTCACTGCCGACGTCATCTCGGAACCAATAATAAATGGAGAAGCCATATTTGTTGTGACGTTTTTAGCGTTACTATGTATAAGGATGAGTAATTAAAACGTCTGCTGCGCGATTTTGCGGTCAACCTAGATAAAAGGTCATTTCAGTATGAAACATGCATACACACCATTTTCCATACTCTAGAGTCGAGAGGAAAGCAAGCTCTATAAGGTTTTTCAGAATATAAAACACGTTTTTATGTTATCAATTTTGATTGTTGCATGCAGAGTGCTAAAGTCCACTTTGGCGCAATATAAGCCACCTTCTTGCAACAACATGACTCTTGTGTAACAACTGCGTTTTCCCACATCATGGTACTATCTATGTCTGCCCGTCGAAAGCTTTTAATCATACATCGAGTGGCGCGATAAGCTAACCTTATCAGTTAATTTACAACAGGTAGTGTGTACTTAATGATTATTATTACAACAGTTTATTAACTATAAAATATTACTACATATTATGGATCGAGTATCTTTGTGCACAGTTAGTTTGCTCACATCGCACATCCAATGATTCAGAGATCCGAGTAGGAAGACCTCGGTTTGCTCACGCGCATGAGATAATATCAACATTGATGACGAAGTAGAGATACAAGTAGGACATACTCGTACCACACAAACAGGTATGTGATAAATGTAAACTCGTGAACAAGTTGATCTTTGTAGTAATCATATAACAGATTTGCCATTGTTAGGGCAGCTAGTTTGTGACGTCACTAAGTTATAGAGTGGTCTAGAATTCTTTATCCTTATAGAAAAGTAGTAAACACGGCCTCATTTTTTGCGTCAAACAACATTGTTGTATTTTAATTAATGTCACATTTTAAGTTTGCCGATGAAATGTTATTTTATTGACAAGGTCTTTGGGTGTTTGTTTGGGGCGTAATTACTCGTAGTGTTGTCCCAGGTGGACGTGACAAGGTGAAGTATTTGTAGGAGCAGGGAGGTAGGCACGGCTCAACATTATGTTGGAGCTAGTCATGAATTAATCAAAGATTACAGCAAAAATTGGGTTATTCGACGTCTTTGTGATTTAAACTGAGTCGTACCTCCTCTGGTTTTCTTTCGGTGACTCAAGAAGTGAAGACCAATTGTCAAAGAGGATTATTCATCAGTTTAACAGTGGCTTCAGTGGTTGGAAATATACGGGTATGTTCCACAAAAAAACAGATAAGTAATAAACCGCAGTTTTTGTATTGACGCAAGCAAATGTCACGCAAAATCGCAACAAAGGATTTTTTGAGAAAAATGTATGTGATCAATATTTGTTATCCTATTACGCAGACAGATCAGATGCAAATTATTCAACCGAATCTTGTAAACAAATTTGTATGACGTATACAAATAACAAAATACATGGCTTGTTAACATACAATACAGGTATTATAGAAAACACGGTTATTAAATATATTTTGTTTTAATTTTACGGGGGTCATGAAAATGAGGCAGACAGACTTTGGACAAATTTGTAAATTATGCAAAAACAACTTGAAATGGTGACTGAACGACGTTTGACAGCAAAAGTAATAATAAATAAATATTATATACCTAGGTGTGTGTAATGGAGGTCTTTTCAGAGGAATATTAAACAAAAACTATGTCTTGAATTTTCTATTAAAATAATATAACTTAAAAAATATTTTTGGCTGACTTATGGAAGGTTATTTTTAACGTGTAAATTCAAATTATCGAAAAGAACATAGATAATTTTTTTTTATTCGATAAATTTAAATTTGAAATTTGAATATTAGCGCCATTTGCATGGAGGGTACTATTCTATTTTGACGACATTGATGGATTTTTATTTTTTTATCAATAAGTAAAAATAATTTTTCTTAAGAGGTGACTCATTATAGATTTGTTTGAATGCAACTATATTTGAAATGATTAATTATATAAATTGAACTCTACATTAATCATGCGATTAATCGAAAAGGTTGTTAGAATAAATAAAATGTCTTATAAATGGTATGTATTTTTTAGATGAAACATATTAGGTGTATAAAGTTAAATAAAAAATAAAAACACGTCAAATATGATTTGTTTCGAGGAAAAGAACGAATCAACCAGCAATATTTGTCGAGATGAGATCAACAATAAGCTATGTAAACCTTAAGGGGTGTAGTTATGTACGCCGTATGTAGATACAATTTCACGAAGAAAAACAAAAGAAATGGAATACAAATTGCGAAAAAAGTGGATAAAAAGAAACGCAACCGAGTTCTGTTTATTGGTACAATCATACAAAGCAGATTACACGGGAAATATTTGAATGTGTAAGTGCGTACAGTATTTTGATGTGTTTTTTCGTAAATATCTTGAGTGATATGAAGTTCTTGAGGTAGCTAACGTACTATGTAAACTTTGAATGTTATTTATTCTTTCGTTTAATTTCATTCTTCGTCTTTATAATTATCTCAAACCGCGTGGTATGTTGATTAAAGGAGCCTTTTTGTTAATTTCAGGGTATCGCCTATCTAAATATCAAATTTTAACCAAATCGGTTCAGCGTTTTTGTGTAAAAGAATAACAAACATGCAACCATACATTCCTACACATTCACATATGTATATGCTATTATAGTAGGATAGTTGGAAAGTAGGATTAAATTGGCTTCGGGTTTTAAATATGTGCTAGATTTATGGCAAAAGGCAAACTAGGTAAACTAAATAAGTAAAAAAAAACTAATTATATATTATTAAGTATCTAGCCTAAAATGTGGGATATTTTTTATCCTTATAAGTATTATGAAGGTACTAAGAATTTTCTTTTCAGAAGTAAAAAGTACCTAAACCTAATCCTGCATTTGTCGTCATCAAAAAGTACGCGGAAATGAAGATAAAAGTTGTTTAACAATTGATGAGGTAGCCTGTTTACCTAACTAATCATGAATGTACCTAATAACTAACTACGTGCCGTGTATTCCCATCCAGCAATATTATGCGGAAGGAGAATTAATGAGAAACTGCTTTTCTCGTATTTCAGCTGGTGTTTCCAATTTACGTGTAGGTAATGCACAACAACAACGCACTCTAGTCCAAAGCCTGCTCCACGACATGTAATACTAAATTTTAATTAATCAAAATTTCGTAGCTTCTGTAATTTACTGTAAACGGAAGCCGTGAAACTAATTCGCTCTGTCAAATTTAATTAATATTTACTATCAGTCGTATTATGTTTGTGTTATGACAGAGTGTAGTTCATACAATTTAATGTGGAGTGCCTGTCTGATACAGTAGCGCAAATATTTGTGATTTCGAGAGTCACAACTTTGTGTAAGGCAACAGTTGTTTGTTCGGCTCTTCAAGTCCAATAGGCATCGGCGCTTTGACATGAAAGAATATGGACGTCTGACTACGTCTCCGGCTACAGTTACTTGTACTCTCGAGGACTGTTACAATCTGAAGATTTTATTCGTCCGCACTAAGTGGCAGCGTGAACAGAAACAATAGAATTACTTACTTGGCGACCGGCACGTTGGTGAGGCATAAGAAATTGTTGCGAACACTGCGCAGGCTCGCCAGAACCTGCGCGAAGGGCGTCACGATCAAGTCTTCCCCGTGGCTGTGGACAAAAATAAACCTTGTAAATATATAGGCAAGTTGCAAATTTGTACGAATACGTTCAAACAAATCATGAGGTAAATCTATAATGATAGGAGCTAAGAGGCGGCTGACAAGAGGATCCTGTTTTGGATATTTGATATCACTGCGAACATATTTTGATCTGATAATGATCCTGAACGTACCTACTTAATACTGCGCAGCCTAACGGTCAAGTTTTCAAGGCTACAACTGAGTCGCAGTGTTCAAATATTGTTCCAGTACAAGGCAACGAGGGTAGAAATATAAAAGTTTACGATACTCAAGTTTATAAAATGTTCTTAAATATTTAACACTGTTTTCCGAGTAGATTTTATGGTTCAAGTTAGTACTTAAAACAAAGGGAGTCTAAAAGGGGAATACATAATGTATTGGGATAGGAACGAAGTTTACATAGCAGACAATATATTATAAATTATATTATAACACATTTACATTTATATTATAAAGTTTATTTATTTTATCTTGATGTAACTTCAGGCAAAGTTTTCAATGATTGTTAAAATACTCACTAAGCGTATCGTGAAAGCAAAACACCTAACTAACCTAAAAATCACATGATAGTCTAAAAATAAAACACTCGCAAACATGTACGATTATTCTCATATATCCTTATGTACATAGATGGATAATTCTGGCATTTTCATTGAGCTTAAAACCCGTTGAAATATGCAGATTTAAAAAATGTTTGGCGTAATAAAAATATTTATTCGTAGCATATTAAAGATACCTCAAGTATCTTTAAAAAATATACATTATATAAAAAATTATATTATCGTTTATGTTTAAATGAATTTATATAATTAAAACAACTTCTGACTATAGCTTATAAGCATATTTTAAGTTTGTATTACCTATTGCTAAAGGTCAGAAGATCAGAAGATATGATTAAAGCAATAACGGTATTTATTAATAAACAATACCCAAGTAAACTGTAACAGTTTCATGTCTAGATCTGAACAAAATGATTATTTCCGAGAACATTTCTCGAGCTCACCATCCTATTTATTTATAGCCGGGTGTGGGACGCAAGACAAGTGAAATACCTTCACAATTTAATACTTGAACTCTTGGGAAACCTGACAAATTCAATGAAGCAAAAGTATCAAGACATCTTACACTTTCTATTGGCATTAGAGCTGACAAAACTCAAAGGAGGTTCAAATCTATTCATAAGAATGCTTTAGAAATTGATAGCAAAGTTGCTTTGAAAAAAGTTACTAATAAGCTATTTCAATTTTTAAAGCCTTTCAAAGGATAACTTTGCATGGCTGTAGTTAAAAGTTAGCCGCGATTAACTTGTGGGTAAAGTTTTACTGGGAAGCAAACTAAGGTTCGTAGACTAAGTTTGAACCGACGTAAATTATACCTGGGTAAACTGGAGGGCTGTTCTGTTTGTTTACACAATAGTCAATATTGATTTCATTAGCAATCGAGGGATTCGAAGACAAGATTCAAGGATTCCAAAGGTTATGTAATTAGTGTGCAATAGTTCGAGCTTATCGTAATGTTTGTTGAACTACTTCGTCGGTCTAGTGTCGAGGACAAGGCGTTGTGTTTGATCAGGATGATATTGAGTTTTTCGGAATTCTCAGTAGTGTAATGGAAGTATGGTACTGTATTTACTTAATGTACGCGCTTTCTATTACGTGACATTTCTATATTAGGTCTACCATGTTTACTTTTGCCTTTGGAGTCTAAAAAATGTGGTATTTGTAGCGTCTATTACGCTAAAAACAATTTAATCCATTAATGAAGAGTTGTTGACGGTAAGACGAGAACAAAGCCATGTAATCATGAGGGTATGTACACGATACGGATAGATAACACTCTATAGGAGTGCCATTCGCAAGACTAATCACTACGCAGTAAACTGGCCAAATGATAGCGTGGGCATTCCATGATAAACGAATGTCCTAACTTACTTGTACAAGTTGTCACCAAAACCCTATACTTAGCTACCTATTTTTCTTAGCACAACTGTTCTGTTTATTATTATTTTAATCGTCTCCATAGATTTTATTAATCTTAAACACGTGTCTATAGTTCGTTTGCGCATAAAACAAGTCATTTGTTGAGACTAAAAGTTATAGTAGAGACGTGTTTCAAATTTTTGATTTTGTTGTTTGAATATATTGTCATAAGGTCTAAACTGAATCAAAAAAATATAAAATAAACATTTTCCTAAAAAAAAGTAATGTTTTTGGTATTTGTATAGTTTATCCTACCTATAATTTTTTTTTACATCTGAATATAGAGAAAATAATCATTTTTTTAATATTATTGGGCTCCAGCTGTGCAGTCGAGTCACTTGATGGTAAACAATCGGCGCCTCTCATGCAAGACCACACAAGTTATAAGTGGGATACTGGCTCTTTGGTGGTTAGGGATTTGAAGATTGGTGATGGGACAAAGGACGGCCTTCGGCAACCTAACACAATACAAGCTTTATTTCACTCTAGGTTTCGGTGAGGCCGTGGTATCACTTCGGTCGGCCAGCACATACGTAAAGCATGGCTCTCTTACACTTTTATATAATACCAACATTAATAGAAATTAGAAAATTTAGCTTAAATGTAGCTTAGGTTTAAAACGTTTGCTAGTTAAACTAATTTGTTGTACTTTAGTCAAACAACCCTTAAAAGCAAAGTTAATACTAGCTCCTGCTTTGTTCGTGCTCATGCAAGGTAATTTCTATGTAGTTAGCTTAACTTGTTAACAAATTACTGCAGCTTATAGTAATGGCTCTGAAGTGCTAATTACGGCAAATCTCCAAGGAATAAGTAGATACAATATGGTCGAATATTTACGAACGTTATTTGTTCGAAGAGATAGATACGTATTATAAAATGATGAAATGTAAAATTTGTCTTTGGTTTTACAGTAATTTATACATTCGCTTGTACTTAAATAAGTATATACCTATTTTTCCATAATCCTTTGTTTTTCACTGTGTATTTAGATTAAAATGTTTATAAAGGTAGGTCAGTTTAGTTAGATACCCACCTGTGTAGTACTAAAGTGTTGCAAAATAAAACTTATAATGTTAGGACATTGTTACAACGCTTAACATAGGAAATGCCATATCATTAAAAGGCGGATTCTTACTGTTTTTCTCACATTATTTAAATTGTATAAAATGTAGATATGATTATACAAAATGATATAATTTAAAATAACTGTTACATGCTTTATATATCATAGGGCTTTATGTGGACTATACCCAATAAACTAAATTGTAAGTAGTTTTATTGTGTATTGCGGTTGTCAAAACTAATATTTTATTATGTAAACTACTTTCAGCATTTCAACGATCCTTCCGCATTTTTAAATCACAGGTTTAGCTTCCATTTTTCTGTGTGCCTAACTTTTGGTTGATATTTGGGTAAAGATATTAAGTGAGATACGATTCTCTTCGCCTTCCAAGAACTTTATTTTCCCTGACTCCCAAGAAGGTATTATAACATTTCCAATTCAATGTTTTCCTCAAGATTCTTAACGTAGACCGTCTAACGTTTCTCCTAAATGCCAATTAGTATCATCCAACGTTTATCCTACGAATTACATTATTTAAATTACTCTTAAAAGAAAAACAAAAGTTGAGACTGTCAATAGAATGTTAACTCAATTTTGAATGGCTAATAAAATAATAGCTGCGAAGACTCTTTGATATTCAAATACAAATGTAATGTGGGGCAGTTAATATTATACAAAAATGTACATTAAATTCATGAGAGTAAAATATTTATGAAGCTATATTTTCGAGTATTAAAGGGGATGCGTCGGATAGAGTTTGTTTTCTTTGGCGAGTATGTTGTGAGAGATGGGAGATGATATTAAGAAATAACATTGGAGCGTCGTTCGGGCGGATCGTCCGAGAGTCAGCTCGTTTGTGTTTACATCGTAAACAAAATGGATACATCTCAACTCAAATATTAAACTGCTAAAACGATTAAATGAGAGATTCAAGCAAAAGAATAAACATATGTCTTTATGCCATCGAATACGACTGTATATCAAACAGTTTTTTCATGTGTGTATACACATAATGACGGACTAGTAAATATACGTTTTTATATTAAAGCTAGCTGTCAATAAAACGTACGGCCAACGATCTTTCCTATGTACAACAGTTATGTACCTAAACATATTCGTAGCACGATTGTATAAAACGTAATATCTCTGGTCGAGTTTCATTTGTAGACACGGAAAACTTTCCTTATATACTGAGTAGAACAGACATACCTAAATAGATCTATTTATATAGGTGCACAAGCTTGCAGTTCTATCAAAATAACTTTTTTATTAATATTAATACAAAAATGCGAGACGACAAACAAGGTAGAGGTATAGGTACCGACTAACTTTTAAACTATTTGTTTGTAGCATTTTCACGTAATGAAATACAAATAGAATATGACAAATACGAGGAATAATTTAACTGACTTGTTGAATGTATTACAATCTCAGAATCATGTGAGTTGACAGTCATGTGAAGGTAAGGATGGCGTTGGATTTGGCGAACCGGTTTGGAAGCATGCCCGGTGCTGGTCACGTCGTTCACGTGCCTCACTATGCTGACGTTGACTAAGGCTAGTTGCACATTACCCAACCAGAATATCCTACAGTTGCACGAACCTAACAGAAAAAATTGACAGTGATTTTATTGCCCACATCATATTACGAGTGTGCGTGACATCTAACGAGTTGAGTACGTGGGCTCCATGTTATTGTGTGAAACGAGATGTTACTGTGGAATGTTACAATTTTATTGTTATGACACTTGGGTAGGTATAGTCAATTGCTGTCGACCGTTGAACAAGACTGTTTTACTCACAAATATGATTTTTATGTCCTATACATACGCTTGTTTTTCTCAACGTTAAGAGACTTATTGCCATACTGAGGGATCTTTAATGATTACTTAAATAATTCCTTTTTGTGAAATGACCGACTCTGAGT